ACGTTTCAAGCATGGAGCTGTGTAAAAACACCAGTAAGTCTTTTTTCGGTTCAGTGGCTTTCAGAGAAGGTGCTGTCTTATATAAGGATAAGTAAAATATGAATCGTCTCTAAGTTCACCTTTTGTGATAAAATTAACTCCACCTGGGATTTTCTTCCTTCCACCCTTTCTAAAATTAAAACTAGAAATCCAAGAAAGGAAGCAGTTGTCTGGTTCTTGAGCTACAGAGAAATAAATGAGCAGTTTTATGTCTCGGGCAGAAGCAGACGAGAGGCCTGTGGGCCTGGCAGTGCAGAGTGAGGAGAAGGAGTCAGGGCTGTGAAAATTCGCTGACAGGGAGGGAGTAGGAGGTGTCCAGGCCTCCAGCTCAGTGTCTGATCTCTAGAGCGAGCCCTCATGTGGGTGAAGCAAGTGTTGATGCACAGAGGAGCCCCTGCAAGGTGGGTGGGAAGGTTATTTCAGGATGCCAGGAGCACTCGGGCCAGCTTGGAACTCCTTTCATGGGCACCATGAGGAAGTCTGTCCACTTCTAAAAGAATCCTGGCCACTGGCAGGGAATGTTGGGAGCAGATCTAGCCTGAGGACTAGAACTAGGTTAGAGTGCCACGTCCCAGCTGATGGATGGGGTCCCAGACAGACCCCACTCCTGGAGACATTTGGGTACCAGCCAACAGTGAAGAAGAGAGTATGCGATGTGGCACCTGAGCCCTGTCCCAGGGACCCTATCTGCCAGATGTGGCTGGCAGTGAATGGCCAGCATGGAAGGAAGCCCATGGTCACATCTGTCCCCTTTTCCTGGACCCAAGTGAGCACTAGCCCAGCTGGACTGGAGTATGTTAACTCTCCCCGCCAGAACCCTGAGCCTGCTATTGAGACTAGGTGAGGAGGGAGGTGGCAAGGGAGAGAAAGAGCAAAGGCATGGAATGAATTACCTAATACATAGACAGCTCATGAAGAGTGACCATGCTCTCAGAGTCGCCAGAGGTTCTTTCAAATGCACATTCCTGGCCCTGCATTTCGAATGCCCTGGGAGTCTGGCCAGGGAACTCACAGTGTGTATCAGGTGCCCTGATTTTTATCCCTGTTCCATTGTCAATAAGAGTCCTCCAAGGAGAGCAAGGACGTGCAGACTGGGGCAACTCTGGAGGCTGCACTCAGAGAGGAGAGGTGGAAGGAAGAGCTGCTGGCTGGGAAGCTACTGTCATCATCCTGTGGGGGTGAAGAGGGGCTGTGGGAGTGAGGGTGAGAGAGGCCTCAGGAAGGACTCCCTGGAACTGGAGGCAATGACTGGGGTTTGCTCTGAGACCAGCCAGCCCTTTGGACTCAGAAGATGAGGGTCACCCATCACCATCCATCTGGTGGAAACATTACAGGAGCAAGTGGATAAAAGATGATTTTGCTGTAAGATCAGAATAGAAGAAGACGAACCCCAAAAAAAATCTAGAGGGAGGAAAGCATATGGTTTTTAAAATAGTACAGTTTAGAATACATTGCAACACAAATGGATTAATTTTTGTACAGTGTTGGCAATGAAAAAAGATTCCCATAGTTATCTGGAATGCTTACTCAGAGAGACGATCTCATTTCCCTAATAATGCAAAATCTTGAGTAGCGTGGGGTCTTACGTTAAGACCCAAAGGGCTAGGCTTGGCAGGGAAGGGCACTACAGGGGTGCCCATGGTGTGTGCCAAGACTCAGGAACCAGAGGAGCAAGTCACAGATCAAGTGCTGGCAAGCAAGCTGGCTTGGCCAAAGTCATCAGTGCGGTGACAATCTTAGAGAAAAGTTTGAAATCCATATTAAATATTTTTTTTCTTTTTTTTTTTAAAAAAACAATCTTACCCTAGAAGCACTACATGGAAGGAAAAAATAAAGTTGCATAATCATTTAGAAAATATATGTGCTGAGAGAACTTTGGTATTAAAAGGTGATTATAAAACAATGCAGGATAGTAAATCTTGGACCAAAGATAAATCATGAACACCAGGGCAACCAAATGGTCCCAGAAGACTGAAAGGCATCCGTCAGAACAGCCCAGTGGAAGTGCAGCTCATTGGTCTCATTTCATTTCCCAGGAGGCTCAAATGTTGCTCACTAAAGGTCTTGGTTCTGCTAAGAGTGGACTGAGTAGAAGGTGCCAGGAGCAGTTTCCTGCAAGTCCCTGGTCCTCAAGCTGCCAAACAGCAGCATCCCTACTTACTGTGGTTGTGGCCAAGCAGTTGGCAGCTCGATGCCTGGGGCTTCTCAGCTCATTTCTGCTTCCTCTGGATCTTCCGGTCCAGTCATCTTTATTTATATCCTCCTATAGCATCGCCATAGATGGGTTGTGATGAACGCCATTCATCAACCTAATGGGCTCAAATGGAACTCTTTGAAATCCCCCAGTATGTGCCTTGGTCTAAGAAAAGAATTGTTAGCTGCAGTTTTAAAACTAGGAATTTATGTCTTCCCATAAATTGACCTTGTGAGGTTATTTGTGGATTCCAATAGGGAAGTGGCCTTCTTAGGTCCCGGTGCCTCCTCCGCCTTCCCCTCACCAACCAGCTGATGCCCTCTGTCTGCTCCTGCGAGCCTGGGGTTGCTGAGGACAAAACCCTGGCAGGCTCAGCAAATGGAAGAGGTGTCTGCTTCCTTTCTTGCTCTGGAGCTGTGTGTCTTGTCTCTCTCCTTCTGCCATTTATTCACTCACTCATTCAGTATCTATTGCACTCCTGCTTTGTCCAGGCAGGGTGCTGAGCACTGGAGATGCAGTGAACAGTCTGTGTTGAGGGACCTACACCTAAACAAATAAGCGCACAAGTACTAGCTCAAGGGCAGCTCTGGAGAAGCAGCAGGTGCCATGAGAGCCTCTGTAGGAGGCTCTGGCAGTCTCTGGTGCCCTGCTCCTCCTGTTACTGCAGGACTCTGGGGGCTGACTGCATATGTGACAGTTCTTTGGATGTCCCCCATCCTTTACTCTGTCCTTCTTTGTGAAATCTCAACCTCAGCAGATGAACTCTGCTCTGGTCAGAATCACCCTAGGCTCTGCTTCTCACCCAGCTCCTGGCCCCCTCCCTGTTGCCACTGCTGCAGGGAGAGGCCACCAGGGTTACTGGGTCCCTCGGACTAAAGGCTCAGGCTCCAGGGGGAGGCCAACTACCAGAGGATACCCTCAAATGTGAGGAGGGCAGGGGGCTCAGAGCATCCTCAAGGCAATGCTCAGGCACCCGCCCACACAAGCTTTGGTTTGTTTTACAGTGTGTAAATCTCTGTATAGTTTTCTCACAATAAATGTAAGATGCATTCACTGTAATAAAAGCTAACACTTCAAAAAAGGAATAAAGGAAAAATTGATGGTATTCTCATCTTCCTTTATGCCAACCACCAGAAATAACTGCTTTCAATTGTGTGCTGTGTCTCCTTCCAGATCCTTTTGTGTTTATGTAAACATGTTGATTTTTATATTGTCCTACATGTTCGTATTATCCTGTAGTCTACTTTTATTCACTTGAAAATTTATCCAGGACTTTTCAGGAAAGCACACACAGATCCTCCTCATTCTTTTCAGGTGTCTGGTATTTCAGTGTGTGAATGTACCATAATTTCTCTTAAAACCAATCCCCCATCCATGAACACGTAAGTTCTGCCATATTTTGTTGTAATTAATAAATTCATAGCAGCTATGAATATATGTATATGTATATATACACATACACATACATCTTTCAGTGTCAAACTCTTCTTAGAAAGGTATTTCAGGTCTAGTGTCTCGCATTTTAATGAGTTTTCATACACAATGAGATGCTCTTAATCACCTTCACCACGTGGCTGGACGGACTGATGCGCTCCCCCATTCGTTTCTCATATGTTCCTCTCTGGAACCTGCACCTCCACTTCTCATGGTAAACTCAAGTGCTTGAGTACTCTCAATTGTGTTTTTTGCAGATTCTGTTTATTTCCATTGAATTTGTTATTGTAATTGTGTAATTTACTTAATTGGTATGTAAACTGAAGAAGTATGAGGGGATTATTGTTTTTAAGAAAAAGTGTAAATTATATTTCTCTCATTCCCAACTTGAACTAAAAAACTGTTACTAGCTAAACACCCACACCTACACACCTACACCTACACCGGTATATCAGATACAGTAGCTTCTACCGACTCATAAATTTCATCAACCGTGTTTGGGAATTATATCCACTCTTAATCTGCTTTGCCAATATTGTCTCTGGAAAAACATCCTACAGCTGTTTGGTTTATTTGTAGATTGAGTTATCTTTTCTCCTTAGAAATACCTGAGAACCAAGCATGCCTTATTTAGAATGTCTGATGTAATCTACCTTGATAAAAGTTGGTTTTGAGCCCTTCTCCTTACCCCCACCAAGCCATTTCAAGCTCTTGTAATGCCCTCAGAAAGACCATATCCAACTTCATATAAGAGAAATGGAAAACCTGGAAATCACAACTGTTGCCTTTGAAAGTGAGAAGGTGTTTGCATATAAACGACCTGCTACTTTTTAAGTTAATATAATGTTAGAAGTGATTTTACAGCCCCTCGAAAATTTACAATCCCTTATGAGACTGTTGTAGGTACTTAATTGTTGGATGCATGGATACACAGAGAAACACTAAATTCATGCAACAAACATTTATTAATTGCCAACTGTATACCTACAAATTGGCTAGCAACGGCTGGGGCCACCACAAAGCACAGTGGGTACAAATGCTCTCCCAAGGCCTGTGACCAAGCTTAAGACTTGGAGCCACCAGGAAATGCAGAGATGCAGTTTACTCAACAAAGCATGCACTCTCTAAAATGGCCCAGCCCTGTGTGTGCCTGGCCAGTGGAGCAGGATGCTGGGAGGCAAAAAAGAAGTTTTCTCCTGAAATCTATGAATTCTCTTCATCTTCTCAAGGTGTGCCCGTGTAATTCAATCACGAATTTTACTTAAACTGTGCGGCATTTGATAGAGCCTTGCAGAGACTACAAGACATCTGACTGCTGTGTTTTCTCTTCTAGGATATCAATGAGTGTATTCTTGAAAACTATCCCGAGTGTTCCAACCCCAGGTTATTTTACATCATTCCGTACTTTTGTGGACAGCATCCCAGATGCAGGTAAGGGCTACAGCAGGCTCGTGGCATGCACGTGTGCACAAGGGAAAGAACCCCACCAGCCTGGCACTTGGTGGGAATCTTTGGTATCCCTAGTCTCTCAACCTTCTGGAATTCAGTTCCTGTTTACTGTTAATCTTTCAAGATAATGTGTGAGACTCCAAATGTCCTATAAGTAATGAAATTTAAAAATCAGCGTCTGCAGAGGCCTCAGAAGACCACCATATAAAGCTTTGTAACTGGAATCAAACCCTTGTTTATACCTAAAACATACTTGTCACTACTCAACCCATGTTGTCTTTCTCTTTGGATAAAATGACAAAATGTCACATAAAATGCGATCGTGAAGACCAGGAACAAACACCGAGCCTGCTCCTCTACAGTGACTGACTTAACCAACAACCTACCCTCGTGGCATGTGTCATTGAGTCTGAGACACTGGAAGCCCACACCCACAATCCCATGGTGGATACACTTAGTAGGCAGAGGAGAAAGTGTTTTATAGTGATCACCTGTCAACCTTACTTGAAGGCAAGACCTTCTTTAGAAAGTGACTTACTCAGATAGTCAGGACCCCCAGGGTGTGATCTGCCCAGGTCCTACATCAGCACCCCTGCATACTTGTTAAGAACCCCCACCCAATCATAGTCGCATGTGTTGCTGCCTCCCCAGATGCTTCTGGGGTAGTTATAGTTGAAATCTACTGTGCTAGACAAATGTGGTAGCCTGGAGAAGAAATGGCAGCAACAATGAAGCATTATCTTTGCTTGGTAGAAAATCAATGTGCGACCAGAAGTGACATTATTCCCCAAAGGAAACATTAACTAGAGGGTCCTTGTGTTTCTGAAAAGGCCAGATAAGAACTGCTACTTCTACATTGGCAATGCATTCGTTGTACTTTTTTGCTTATGCTATGATTTCTGCTTTGTTATTAGGCATATTGTTGTTATTCCTGTCTTGTTTCATTTGCCATAACAAAAGAGTTTGCTTATGGTCCAAATTACAGAACCAGGAGTGTTAGTTTTTGACTTCACCATAAGTCCCCTGAGTCCAGGTGGCCTCTCCCCTGCCCCGACCCTTGCCTCAATAACAAATACCTCCTGGTTAACATTTAGTACTTCAGGTATTGGGAAGATCTGGGGCTGGATGACTCACTTGCTGATCACAGTGAATATCTTTATAACAGGCAACATGATTTGAACTCCCTAAAGTATTTTTTAAATCGTGTAGTATTTTTCAGATTTTTCAATTTTCTAATCTTGGAGAGGTGACTCATAACACCATACCTTGACACACACACAATGATTTTTATAACTCTTTTATCATATCACCTTGCACAGTCTTTACAACAATGCTTTGAACTAGGTAAGGGTTATTATTATCATTTTTCAAAAGAGAACCCTGGCTTGCCCAATTCCCCCAAATGATAAATGACAGCCAGACCTGGAGCCCCACTCCCGGGCTTTTCTCACTCTCCTGTCAGTTCAGAGAGCTGGTCTACAAATCAGATTAGGCTGTTTTCCTTCTGCAATCTAAACAAACAAAATAAAACAAAACAAAAATCCAAAGATTTATCTTTAACTCTTCCAAAGAATAAGATGATTAACAGACATGACCTGACACCTCTTTTGAATTCTACATAAATACTATGTCAGTCAGTTTTGTATTTCAAAACTTCTAAATTCATTTAATTGGTTCACTTTGGTCCTCCTATAAAAGCCGTTTTACTCACCCCTTGATTAGTAGTTGTTAGGATCTGACTGCCTGTGCCTGCTTTCATTAGTCCACACTACTTAAGCAGGGCCTCTGAATTCAAGGCCCTGGGCTTGGCGTGAAGCACGGATGAAAGTGACAGAGAAGGAACAGTGAGCAGGGCAGGACACCAGCTGGAAGGACTGAGAAGGCTCTGGATGGGGCTACATCTGGGCTGGTCCTTGAGGGAAACAGGAGTTGGACTTATGCAAGTGAAGGTGGGAGGTAGAGGGAGTAAACTTTCGGCATCTTGTTGCTGAATTTCAAATATGAATCTCTGATTTTCAATAAATTTTTATATCCATAAAGGGAGCCTGGTGAATGGGCCCTTGAGAGAGCAAAGCTGAACGTGAATGAAAACTTCCTGCTCGTGGGGATTCTTGAAGAGTTGGAAGATGTGCTGCTGTTACTGGAAAGATTTTTACCTCATTACTTCAAGGGCGTGCTCAGTATCTACAAAGACCCAGGTAACTTCATTTGTAAGCAAGCTCTTCTCCATGACAGGTCTGTGTCCAGGGATACTCACCTTGAAAAGGCCTCAAGAAATAAAGGAGTAAAACGAACTCTTCTGATGACAAAGGGCAGTTAGTTCCCAGGGCTTGCAAAGGAAAGTTAGAACCAGGAGATGCAGATGCCAAAATCTTGAGCTTCATGTTCAGACATAAAATCACCATGTTCCAAAGGCTTAATGGCTCCATTTCTCCCTGTGGAAACTGAAATTGGCAACATTCTCTATCAGCCTTGTCTTGAGCCTGTTGCTGGAAACGGAAATTGGCAGCATTTTCTATCAGCCTTGTCTTGAGCATGTTGTTGGGGTGTGTACAAATGAATCCGTGTGTGCACACCTGGACTCCATTGATGGAAACATGCATGAGTACGAAAGAGCCATCCTTGTGATGAATTCTCTCTGGCCAACTTCCATTTGATAAAAGCACTCCAGTGTATCAAATCCTGACAGTGGGATATAGAGCAGCAAATTGAAAATACAGTTATGATTTTATCCTAACAAACCGAGTGGTCCCCAAATAGCAGCAAGAAATAGAATGTGGCAAAGGCTGTGACAACAAGCCTTGAATACACATTCAGTGATCTGTTAATTGTTCTGTTTTGTTGTCCTGAGATGGAAGAAGACATTCTGCCCTGTAGAGATAAGCAGCAGATAGGCCCAGTGGGGTGGCTCATGCCTGTAATCCCAGCACTTTGGGAGGCCGAGATAGGTGATCACCTGACGTCAGGAATTCAAGACCAGCCTGGCCAACATGGAGAAACCCTGTCTCTACTAAAAATATAACAATTAGCCAGGTGTGGTGGCGGGTGCCTGTAATTCCAACGACTCAGGAGGCTGAGGCAGGAGAATCACTTGAACCTGGGAGGTGGAGTTTGCAGTGAGCCAAGATCGTGCCATTGAGCTCCAGCACGGGCGACAAGAGCTAAACTTTGTCAAAAAAAAGAAAGAAAGAAAGAGAGAGAGAGAGGGAGGGAGGGAGGGAGGGAGGAAGGAAAGAAGGAAGGAAGGAAAGAAGGAAAGAAGGAGAGAGAAGGAAAGAAAGAGAGAAAGAAAAGAAAGAAAGAGAGAAAGAAAGAGAAAGAGGGAGGGAGGGAGGGAGGGAGGAAGGAAGGAAGGAAGGAAGGAAGGAAGGAAGGAAGGAAGGAAGGAAGGAAAGAAGGAAACAAGCAGGTGAAAAGCTCCCCAAATGCAGTATGCTGCCTCATATTCCACAGGGTTCCCGAACCCCAGCTGCATCACTGGCAGGTCCCAAGGCCCAGGGAAACTGGTGTTTGCCCAGAGAGCCCTGGATCCTGTTGCACAAGGTCAGGGTGGCCCTGCCACCATCAGGGACTTGCTGAAGGAAGGTGAATAGTTGGTGGAGGCTGCCTTAGCCTCCCAGCTCTCATTAGAGTTCAAATCCCATTTACCTGTATGTAGGAACATGACCAAAAGCTCCAGGTGTGCCCTGCAGATGTGTCTACTTAGCAGGAGATGTGGGTTGAATAGCCAGAAGCATAATAAACCTTAAATAGTGGGATTATGAAAGTAGGATTTCCTTTGCCTTTTTAACAACAAGCCATTTAAAGAGTTTATATAATTTTAATGTAAAGAGTTTGATGTGACTGATTTTTCTTTCTAGAAGACAACATAAACTCCGTTCTTTGTGCAAGGAGAGGTCTTATCCTAAATTAGACTCCTTTGAAGAAGAAGGTTTATGTTAATCATTTTCTTCTTTCAGCCTTATCGTGTTCTATGGGGTGTATGTATGTGTGGTGTGTGGTGTGTGTGTGTGTGTCTAATACACAGCCTGAGATAAAGGGCTAACTAATCCTGGTGACACATAAGATGAACGCTCTCCATAAAAGATATTATGGCTTCCAACTTTGTTAGTGTCTGCTCAGTCATTTGCTCTGAGAGAGGTGAGCTGCTATGGATGAAGAGAGGTTCACATAGTGAGGAACTGAGACCTCAGACCAAGAGCCAGGTGTGTGAGCCATCTTGGGAGCAGACACAATGGCCCCAGTCAAGCCTTCAGATAACTGCAGCCCCAACCAACATGTTAATGGCTGCCTCATGAGAGATCTCAAGCCAGGACCACCCAACTAAGCTGCCCCTGAATTTCTGACCCTAAGAGCCAGTGTGTGAAATAAAGGTATGTGTTTTTATTTTTTTTTATTATTGTTGTTTATTTTAATGGGCACTGTCTTGTCCCAGCATTTGGGAGGAGGAGCCAACATGAGAGTCCTCTTCCGGTTACATCACCATCCATTCTGAGGTCTGGAACACACACCATTCACAGGATGCAAAACCCAGCACAGGGGTTGTGGACCTGAGAACCTAGATAAGGATATTTTTATATTCATGCTTTTGAATACAGATAAACCACCTATAAAAAGCTTAGCCCAGAGGACCCACGTAGTGGCTTTTGTCGGTGTATATCATATTGACTTCCTATTTTCTCCATTTAAATATGTGTCTTCTCAGAAATTGTGGGCCTTCGTTCCGTGATCTGAAAGTTCATTAATTCAAGGAGAAAAGATTTCTGAAAACCAAGTTACTATTAACTCTTTTACCTTCAGCCATGATCTTTCCACCTATAAATTAAGATTATTTTTCCCTCAGAGTTTGGCACAGTAAATATCTCAAAGAGAAGAAAGGACATCTGGTATTCCTGTGTAGTGGGATGAAAGGTTTCCATAAGCCAGGCCACTTGGCCAGTCCATGCGGTCCAGCTGGACTAGCGGTTAAAACAGTGAAACGCTCCTATACGGCCTTCAGGGTGCACCTGCCAGCCTGGCTGCCCGTCCTTGTTACTCCCACCTTTTCCAGCAGCGACGTAACAAAAGGACTAATTCATGGCACAGGAGGGATCTTCAGGACCCCGGGCCAGTGTCACACTCAGTGACTGTTGTTGGTTCAGTTCTTGAGTGGAACTGGTTGTCAAATACTTTAAATATCACCCCACTGTAACTCTCTCAGCTGCCACACATTACATGCCCAATAAAATGAACCTTTGAGTTGTTGCTTCAGTAACTTCTACTGTGTTTTGTGTTCTCTTGGGCATCTTCTTGTGATATGTTTCCACGGTAACACTGAAGACCAAGCTAGTCCACAGTTCCTCTATCCCAACAAGTTTCCATGTCCCCTGAGGCAGAGGACAAGAGATCAACACACAACTCCGGCCAGCTTCTCAATATATTTTAGCCTCAGGGAAGACTTAGCACCCATACTGTTTTCTCATCACCTCAACTGAGTTGGTGTCAAATAGGTTAAAGAAAGAACAGCTGCAAGTTTCTAGTTACTTCACCATCTCATCTCTGTATTTTTAATCTAAATTCACGTCTTAGGGCATGCTAAAATCATTACTCTTGCCCTTTATTGAAGAATCTGATAACCGAGTAGATTAGAGAACAGAGAGAATAAAAACTAAAATCTAAGATACTGATTTAAGGGATCTAGTGACCCTGAAGTCATTGTAGATTAACTAACCATCTGAAGAGCTGAATTAAGATGCAAAAACACCACTGGCCATTTTTCTTTGGTGTCTGTCCTGTTATTGGAAAAAAAAAATAGGAGTTTACTGATTTTTAGTAATTCCTCTCTAGCAATACTAAAAATATGTATACCAGTCTCGTTACAGAAGAAAAAACACTAATAGCTAATGATTATTTGGAGAGCTAGTAAAAATCGTAATGTCTGTTAGTCATATGGGTTGTCACTTATTTTAGATTGAAATGATATTCATTGATTCTTTCAAATCAATACTACTTGTCCCAATACTCACCATTTAGACAGGTTAATAACCTTTCTCAATAACAGCTTAACTGTCTTTTCTCCTGTTCATTTCTTATATAAATATATGCTGACATCAAGTAAATTTGTCTCCTACCAAAAATATTTGAGAAACTTAGCCTTTAGCACTTTTTTAAACAGTGATTTTATATTAATATTTGCATTTTATAGAGACAGAATAGAGTATCTCAGAAGCTTAGGATAGTAAGTACTTGAGATGAAATAAAAATTAGAGTTTTAGCAAGATGGATAACCAAGAGAATATAATATGCTTGGTATTTCTTCCAGCCGGGGCACAGCTGCTGATATTGGGACAAGTACCGTGGAGTGGGCATTCAGAAAACACTGCTCAAATCCTGACCATGAGTTTGAATTAGGGAGCACCAAGGCCCCAGCAGACTTTACTGGCTAGGAGCAACCTCAATGGTTGAACATAAACATAATTATTATATATGATCACATATGTATTCTTATACATAATTATTTTTTATTGATTAATCTCTATTATGTTTGTTCATTACTTATCACCTTTTAAAAATGAAAAACTGAGGCCAGACATAGTGGCTTGCACCTGTAATCCTACCATTCTGGGAGGCCAAGGTAGACAGATCACTTGAGGCTAGGAGTTTGAGACTAGCCTGGGCAACATAGCAAAAGCTCGTCTCTACTAAAAATAAAAAATTTAAAAAAAAAGGCCAGGTGTGGTGGCTCACACCTGTAATCCCAGCACTTTGGGAGGCCAAGGTGGGTGGATCACAAGGTCAGGAGTTCAAGACCAGCCTGGCCAACATAGTGAAACCCCATCTCTACTTAAAATACAAAAAATCAGCCAGGCGTGGTGGCAGGTGCGGAGATCGCACCACTGCACTCCAGCCTAGGTGACAGTGTGAGACTCCATCTATAAACACACACACACACACAAACCAGACATGGTGGCGTGTGTCTGTGGTCCCAGCTACTGGGCAGGCTGAAGTGGGAGGATCACCTGAGCCTTGGGGAGGTCGAGGCTGCAGTGAGCTATGATGATCGTACCCATTGCACTCTAGCCTGGGTGACAGGGCAAGACCTTGTTTCAAAAATAAAATAAAATAAAAATAAAAATGAGAAACTGAAACAAGCCCAGAGAAATTGAGAGAATGATCCATAGTCATCCACAAAAATGTGTTAGTAAGGGGCAAGACTCAC